TGTTTGTGATACCATGCATGTATGATGATGCCATGAGAGACAATTACACAAATGATATGATTGATTGAAATGCATGTATGATGATGTGTTACCAACATTGCATGAACAATTACACATGTATGTTGTGAATTTTTCTAAACTCTCACCATACTAAGGGGTTTATAATTCAAGTAATTAAAGTTAATTGCTTATGGATTCGGACTAGAATTGGTTAGAGTTGGAGAGTTTGGTCAAGATTTGACATGTATTTTATAGTGATGGCCTTATTTAAGGTTCTTAGATGAGACCTTATCTCTTAACCATTGAATAAATTTGATCTAACGATTAAAATATAAGATCTCATTTATGGTTCTTAGATAATGCCCTCACACCCAATTAGATCCGTTGTGTATAGGCACAAATGTCCAATCAAAGGCTCAACAAGGAGATAGAGAAGCCAGAACGAGCAACCACGTGGCTAGAATTGAATGGAGGAAATTACAGTGACAAACATTTTCTTCTATGTCTTTGATGTTTTTCATGTAATGACACCGATAGACGAGGAGTGCACGAAAAGTACATGAAAAAGATGGACGTGGACAACTAAACCCAGAGAGATAATCCAGCATGTGATTAAAATAGACGTAAAGCGGTGTAAAAGAATAATAAAAAACGGAGAATCTGAATGATGAAAATAAGGTAAAATGATAGGCCGGATTCCGTAAGAACACACCCCACCAAAAAAGAAAAGTAAAATATAAACCAATGCTATTATAATCTTTTCTATTTTTTAAACTTAGAAATAATTGACGGCAGTGTTAAACTTGAGAATGATGACAATCAGAAAATGAGAAAAATAGTGACTTAAAACCTAAAAGAATAAGAAAGAGTTCGTATGATGATTATTTTGGCGTGTCAATAATAATTCTATCTTTTTTGTGTTTGTTTATACATTTCTAGTAGTTGTGTTTCTTTTTCCTTTTTTATCATAAAGGGAAGAGAGATTTGAATCCTCTTCACCAATAGAAGGAGAAATATTGCTATTCTAACAAACAAAAGAAGAAGTTGTTGAGTAGTATTTCTTAGAGCATGTCCAGCGCTTGGGCCTAGCTTGGGCAAAAGGCAGCCCCAAGCTCCAAAACCACCTCCAGAGCGCAAGGTTCAGCCCTGGCAAGAGCTGGGTTCCACAAGCCCAGGCAAGCCCAAGGGCAAATTCAGCCTAAGTTGCTGCCTGAGCATAATAATGCAATGGTAACATCAGCAACTAAAAAAAAAGGGAGAAAAAGGGAAAAAAATTGAAAAAAAATACAAAAAATTCCAGATTTTTTTATATATAATAAATACCTAACCATATTCTTTACTTCCCACACCAAAAACTCTATACAAATTCATCTTATTATATATCATGTGAATAGTATTTGTCATTGCCCTAACCTTTTGGGGTGGAACCAAAAAAAGTAAGGCTGCCACTATTTACGTGAATAGTGGCAGCCTTGCCATTTGTGGTTCCACCCATGAGGCTTGCCCTTAGTTTAGCAAAGGACTCATTAGTGCATTGGTTTTGAGCAATTACTTCCTAAGACAAGGTTCTGGGTTCGAGTCCTAACATCCGTTTAGTGTATGTGAGTTTAATATATTATTTCCCATCTCAATAGGAAAGGTTTTCAAAAAAAAAAAACAGAAAAAAAAGAAGTTATTAGTTTAATATTTTAAATACTGCTATATCAACTGTAATTAGTTGTCCAAAATTTGCAACCTATACTAAATTAATAAACATAATTGCATCATTTTAGAACCATGCAATGAAATTTAATAAGCTTTTCTTTTTATAAAAAAAATCTAAAAAATTTAAATAATAAATAAAGATGATTATGAGAAAAGACATAGAGGCATGACGTGTGCACTGCGAGTCCTTAATTATCGAAGGAGTGGGGCTGTTGCTTGATTAATTCTTTGGGAAAAATGACGAAAACATGAGCACATCTTGTCCAGCTTTCCATTTATTTATGGTCTGCTGGAAAAAAAAAATTGTACACGTAACTTCTCTATTTACAAGTCTTACGACTTTTTTTAAGGTTCAACGTGATCACGAAAGCTGAAACTTTGAGAGCCCAAAAATCATTTTGGACTAACAATCTCTTTTTTGTGGGGTTGAAAACACTTGGGATGGTGGGTGAGGCCGAGATTGATCGGTTGCCAATAGACCTCCTGGCTCATATATTTGTTCTGATCACTTCCTTCACTGATTTAGCCCAGTCAGTTGTTCATTTCTTTTCCAAATTATATATCATCATCGTGATTGTTTTCAATTTTCCTTTTTTTAATTTCTGGGTTGTTGGTTTTGTTGTTGATTTGGGTTTATGTGTGTGAATTTGTGAAGGGCAAGCAGTGTGTGCCGGAAATGGAAACAAGGGGTGAAGCAGTCTATGGGTCGCAGAGAGAGTTTGAGCTTTGCTGGGTGGAAGATGGACGATGACTCCACTGCACGTCTGGTTCGCTATGCTTACTGCCTCAAAGAGCTCGACATGTATGTCTTCTATCTCTGTTTTTTTTAATACTTGCGATAGTCTAAACTGCAAAGGGAGGGCATTTCTCACTTGAACCTGAAACCTCTGGTCTGCAACAGTCAAGGCCTTTACCGCTAACCCTGTTGGCATTTTCTCTCTGTTTTTAGTAGGTCTCTTATGTGTTTAATTCTTCATAGTTTGATTCTTTTTTTTTTTTTCTGTCTTTAATTCTTTTTAAGTGGTTGAGGACATCTTCAAAAGCAAAGGTTTCTGAATTTATCAATTTTCTTATTATTTGGAGCTCTAAGTGACAAAATTACAAGTTATAATGCACATAAGTATGTAATGTACTTTTTAGAGTCAGATAGACTGAAAAGTAAAAACCCACACATTATTTTCTGGGGTTATTCAGAAAGCTTCAAATTTCTGTTTTCTGTTACTTTTATTGGTTTTAGTTTTAAATAAAAGGTCTGCCAGTGCTTAAAGTTTACCGTGCAAACTGCATTGCATAGGTGTAGATACTGAAATTTAGGCAAAATACTTAGAAGAAGAGATAATTGTGCTCTGAACTGTAAGGGGTAAATTAGATGTGCATGAGGTTGTGGAGATGTATGAGGTTTGTGTTGAGAGTGTTTGTCCCACATTGAAATGTTAAGGGACCTAGCCTGGGTTTATAAGGAGTTGGGCTACTCCCCTCATTGCCAATTGGTTTTGGGGTGGAACCTCAACTTCCTTCATGGTATCAGAGCAAGGCTTCACGTGTTGGGCCCAACGGCCACACGTACTCCCACGTCACCCAATATGTGTTGTCCACGTGTTAGGCTTGAAAGTTCGCCACACGTGCGGGGGCGTGTTGAGAGTGTTTGTCCCACATTGAAATGTTAAGGGACCTAGCCTGGGTTTATAAGGAGTTGGGCTACTCCCCTCATTGCCAATTGGTTTTGGGGTGGAACCTCAACTTCCTTCAGTTTGTTGGGTATGTAAGATTCATAGAGTGGCTTATGTCTTATTAACAAGAACATGAAGGTCTTAGGATGAAATTCAGGATTCCTAGCCCAATGTGATGTGTCTGGGTTGGGATGCATATTCTCATTCAGAACTCAGTAGTTCAATCACTTCTGTGAAGATTAGGTTTCACTCGAGAAAAAAGTTCTCTGCATTGGAAGTGTTCTTCCTTTTTCGGGTTAGTACCACTACTAACCCATGACTCTGCACCTAATGCCGGGTTTAACAACACAAAAGATGTAATCGTTCTGCACGTTTCCAGCTTTTTCTTTTCCATCAGATTTGAGTCTGGTTAGTTACAAGCATTTGATTTTAGATATCTGGTGTCATGTGTAGCAGCATTTGGCAGGAAATGGCCAATACCATATATGTACGTCAATATTGAAGATGTACCAATTAGGTTAATTGATTATATTGTTTTTGATTTCTGTACTCGTATACTCAGTTCGAGGAGCCGTTGGGGTTGCCAGATAAGTGACAGCGGATTGTACAGAATATCTTTGGCAAAGTGTATCAGCAATTTAACATCCATATCCTTATGGGGCATTACAGGGATCACAGATAAAGGTGTTGGTCAGCTGGTATGTGATAATCTTATTTCAGAGCACAAACCCGCTTGAGCAGTTCATGATATAAGTTTGATTGAGTGCTTTTGCTCAGATCAGATTCTCATTTGACTTTATTTTCCATCAGATATCCAGAGCTAATTGCTTGCAGCACCTGAATATTGGTGGTACATTTATCACAGATGAGTCATTATATGCCATAGCTGATAGCTGTCCACACTTAAAGGTAAGCTGTTAAGTGAAATTAGAATCATTTTGTGCCACAATGTTCAGAACCCCCAGTTTTGTTCAGATGCATGCCCTCGCCTTCCTGTTCCATTAATCGATATCTATCAGGCATTAGAGTAGGCCATTTTCCCAAATGAATTTTATGGAATCTGTTTGTTCTGTAGATGGATGCCAATTTCTAAACCTCTGTTGTGTATTGTTTATCTCCAGACTATTGTCTTGTGGAGCTGCCGTCATGTAACCGAGAATGGCCTTCTTGTTCTTGTAAATAGATGCCGCAAGCTTGAGTCCATCAATTTATGGGGGACCAGAGTTGCCGTGGACTGCTTCATTGCTTTGCTTACTATCAGTCCGGCACTAAAGATAAAACCCATAGGACTGCTATTAAACGTTGATGCTTCGATGTTGCCGGTTGTATAAGCTGCTCATTCGTATAGTTGCTTTTGTACATTGCCGTATATATTTTCTTTCTTCAGCTCAATGTCCTAGATGGGAAGTTTGAGGTTTATTTATCAGCTCAATAACCGCAGGTTGTTTTCTTAGTCTCTTGTTCTGTATATAATTCACATGAATCACATCCACCGGTATTATTTTGTGCAAGGTGTGAATAAAGGTTGAAATGATTCAAAGAAGATGAAGTAAAGAGTACATTCTATGGTTGAAACTAGACCATTCGCGGGCTGAAGGTTGAATCTGAGTGAGTGCAGCGTAAAGATGAAGTAAAGACCTAAATACCTCTTCCATTTTACGATATTGACATCGAAATCGAAAAGGAAATGAAAGAGAACAGTACCTAATTAATAGTGGGAAAAGCAAACCAAAGAAATACAACAATTAGGAAATCCTAGTATTGAGAATACGAGCACTTCTACAAATGCTAGGCCGTACAATCCCCTATTCATACTACGCACACGCCATTCCCTAACAAAAGACCTGAAAACGCAAAAGAAACGCGTTAGTACTCAATGCAATGTTTGATTGTGATAAAAATATGCGTATTCCACATTATACACAAATCAAACGTATAAAAGACAGTCCAAACTCATTACAAATGTCAAAATGTGTATTCGACCAAAAGGAGTGATGTCTATTTAAAAAAGCAGTAACCAAGTGAACTCTTGACCACCAACCATATGTAACAAAGTAAGAAATAGAAATGAAGTTGATATGTACTAATGGGATATCCGTATTGAGCTTCTAAGGTAAAAGGTGAAATATATACGGTGCAACTGTCAACATATCGTCATGTCACGAGGAAGGCTACATACCTGAACTGATTCCTGGTACATTCGTGGTCCTTCACGGTCACTATCTACTGCCGATGCCTCTGCAACTCCATAATTCTTGTCCCAATAGAATCAGAAAAGTTTTTCATTTACAATCCATATGTCATTACTCTACCAACCACAGAACCACTACTTGACCTTCCACTCAACTAGGCAGTTCGTAACTGTTATCACTCTAAATTTTAGTATGACATAAAAGAAGCACCCCAAGAAGTAACTCACTAATGAACTATCTTAGTATTTAGACGTTGCAGTCAACCAAAATGCCATCAATGGAATATAAAACATAAAGACAACCAAGCGATTCGGAGAATAGACTGTTGACGCAGAACTTGCAAACTGAACAGAGCCTGTAAAGCTTCCTGCATTATTGGTCACTGGACTTCTAGTTGGTATAGAAACATTCTTGCAAGATCCAAAAGGTGCTCCAGCCTGTGAAAACCCAACAGTAGAGTGTTTTCTTACAATTATTACTATAAAAATTGGTGTGTCACCACAAGAGTATAGGTAGATCAGTAGAACCACCCGAAATTGCCCTTTGATAAGTCAAGATTTAAAACAGAGAATCCAGAAAGTCTTGGAATAATAAGATGTTGAATCAAGTTCAACTCCAACATACGTCGCATAACATTTCAGTGTTGGGACAAAAATGAACATGTAAAGATCATAATTCTTGACCTTGAAAAATGTTCTCATTGAAATGATATAAAACCTTTCAATCTTACCCGGACACAAAAATACTACTTGGAAGCAGATAGAAAGCAGAAGGAAAAGGAATACATTCGAATCAGTAATTAGTCTTGACATGTAGACCATTTCTAGATTCTGATAGGCACCTATAATTAAGTTGACATAAAATTATATAAAATAAAATAAAACTCTGACATTTTGTACAAACAATGTTTTTAATTTTAGACAGATAAGAAATGTTGGAAAATTTGGTGAGTTGTTGGACAAATTGTTAAGGTTGGAGAGAGTCAGAATCAGGCCACAAGACTTTTTAACCACTGGTTTGGATGGTAAAAAACAATAGAGAAGTTCACAAAGAACAAAAATGAAATATGGAAAACAGTACTGCAAACAAACCTGGCAGGCACTGACAGTACTACACCCACAAAGTGTCCGGCCATTCATTCTATCAACAGCATCAAACACACCTACTCCATCACTCCTCTGCATTAATATCATTTTATGCTAGTTAAATGCCTAGTTGCATGATGTTTTAGTATTTACTTCTTCCTTCGCTAAAATTTCCATACCATGTAAAAGTTGACTGCCAAAAAATTTGGCATCGTCCCTGCTGCTTTGTAACAGGTACCAACCATCTCCTCAAGTGAAGTTGAATGCTCTTTGCAAGCTTCAGCTTCAACTGGATATGTTGGGAAATAATTTTGGAAGAAAAGAGACACACTTTTTGAATTAAGTGGCTTTGATTCTTTTCTCTTTGGGCATGAGCCTGGTTTGACCCCAGGATCTCCAGCTGAAACCCAGTAAGCATTCAGCTGTTAACTATACAATTCAAATATAATTTGAATGGAAGATGGTATTTCATATATGATTACTTACATTCGTTTTCCACCATATACTTCCATTGATAAGCTATTCCTTCTAGTGCTTCCTTTGAACCATCAGAGGTGAAAACAAGAAGGCGGTGGTTCTCTTGCACCATCTCAGTCACAGCGGGCCAATCTTCACCCTTCCTCGGCATTTTGGATACAGGAAACCAATACTTGTCTAACCCAGCCTTAGTAAATAATGTTGTTAATCCTTTTGGAGCTTTCACATAGTCCTCCAGTATAATGGTCACAATCTCTGTTGGGTTCTGACTTAAAAATGCTTCCACTTCTGTCAAAGTGTTAATTGCAGGTTGCTGTGAACAACCCAATGCACACATTATAAACAGCCTCTCAAAACTATAACCATAGAATTCACATAATAAGTGTTAAGTTGACAAGATGGAAGAGAGATTACAAATGCAGTGAAGTTGAAACATTGCCCCCGAAAAGAATGGCAAAGCCAGATATCGTTCTCGAAATCGTACACATCCAACATCAGTCCCCTCACTCCATTCTTAAAACAGTATCACACAAGTTAAGACAGAGGTTTGTATAATTAAGGAATAAGAGATGCAATCACAGATAATTTCATTCTAATTTTAAATTCCAAGAAACAAAGTAAAAGAAAGGAATAACATTCCAAACGTATCATACTCTGCTGTTTTCAGTGACTTGATGATTTCGTTTTTAAGAAACTAAAGAAACAGAAACCGTAAAGTTCAATTCTCATCTCCTTAGTTTCTCCTCAAACTCTTAGAAACCAAAACTGGCATAAAGAGAACTGAAAGCACATACCCTTAACTGATTAGTAACAGTGTCTTCTTGATTGAAAAATGTCAGTCTTTGAACACCAGGCAAAGGCGGTGCATCAACGATGCTGAAAGAGTTATGAGTCACCAACCATGTGTACTTGTTGAAAGGCAACCCATTAATCTACAACATCAAGAAATTGCAAAAAACTCCTAAGACCCATCATCAAATTCATTCAAAGAAAAAAGGAGCCGACAACAATTTCTTGAATTTTACTCAAAATAGCTCAAACCCATCACAAATATACGAATTTGAAGTCCAAAAAGCTTACAATTGAAGTGGGTGCGGTTGCTTGGCCTCTGGTACAGACGGGTTGATTCTTGCCCGAAGCAGGGCAGTTGCCACAGTAAAGACCTGGCCCACAGTCTGTGGCTGCTGCACAAGCTTCTAGAACCTGTAAATTATTGAACTTTCAGCTCAAATTCAGAGAGAAAATGCGAGACTGTACAGATCTTGAGCAATCAAATGGGGAAAGTAAAGAGAGAAACCTGGCAAGCGCCATTGGAGCAAGCAGCGGAAATGGTGACGAAGACTGAGAAGAGTAACAGAGAGAGGTAACCAGCTGATGAGGCCCTGCATAAGCCTCGGTGGTCTGCGGAGCACGGTAGCATGGCAATTTGCTTATGCAGGGAGCTCCAAAAGCCACCGCCCAGAGAGAGAGAGAGAGGAACTGAGGCAGTCTCGGAGACAAAGCAAAAGAGAGAATTTTTACTGTTGAGGGAGGGTGACAAGTTTTTGTGTCTTAAACGCGGGCTTTATCACCTTTAATTTTTCTCTCTTTTTTTTAAGGAAAAAAAGCAGCACTGTTTTTTTGTCTGCCAAAGGTTCCATTGCTAAACCTGTCGTTTTCCTTTGTTTATTCTTGTTATCTACAGATGTTAAATTTATATTTAATGGAACACATTGACATTTTCCTACCTAAATTTATATTTACTTTCATTTATAATTTTCCTTTTTTATTTTTTTTCTTCTTCTTTATCTTTAATGATTTGACTGTTACAATAATTATTTATTGGGAGTTTCACTAAAACACCCAAAATGGAGGTTGAAATTATAAAAAAACCCAACACTCAAAACACTTTATAAACACACCCAAAACCAATCATTACACACACTCAAAACCCATTTATAAACACACCCAAAAAGTTGACTTTGGAGTTGATTTTGGGTGTGTTTCTATGTTTAAATAGTGCTTGGGTTTTTTTATAAATACATGTTTAGGATTGGGTTTATTTATAAATTTTTATTTGACATATCGGATGGAGTGTAAAACTGTGTAAATATCAAATTGCCACACCAGCCATCAAATTTAAATTTGATGTTTGGTATTTGACATCTCCCTTAAAGACGCTCCCTCAATTCACCTGGTATGTCAAATAAATATATTACTTTATTGTGTGTTTTCTTTTGTGTTGATACACCTAAACCCTTCAATAAACAATGGGGAAAAATGTATATTTGACGCTACCTTTTCATGCTATCTAAATTGGTCGTCGCACCCTCAAGCGCTAATGTCTAGTTAGAATTTATGTTTTTTGTGTGTGGATGTTTTGTTGTCTAATTTTAACATTATCCACTCTATTATAAATTTTACTCATTGATTGGAGATGCTCTAAAAAGTTATTTTTTCGACTTATGAGTTTTAGTTCATATGATTGAATGCGATAGCAGAATAACTTATTTGTAGGGAATGTTTCTATTTTTTCTCCTAATAAGTGATCAAGTAACTAGCACGTGAGTATATATTGCAAGAGGAAAGATGTATACACAAGTTTCTCCGAATAAATGAGAAATTACTAAGTTTGAGTGCAAATTTTATGTTTTATAGAAAAATAAAAGCCTTTAGTCAATTCCGTATTTAATAACCCTAAGAAAGCCCTAAGCACCTCTCCCTTTCCCTTTTAGATGAATTGGATCTTCACTTCAACCACACATTTGACTAATGTTTCCAAACAATTTAAGATCAACGGTAATGAGTTTGGCAGCAACAAGGATATGACCTACGAAGAAAAATGAGATATTTAGTCATATACTTATTCTTAACACTAATAAGATAGATAAACCATACATCATTTAATTTTTATAAACAAACTAAAAAAAAAACCAAAAAATGACAGCTGACCTTATTGAATTTAATTTTGATTATTAAATTACTTTGATATCCTATTGAGTGTGGGGTTTTTTATGAGATTTTGGGGTTGAGTTTATTTTAAGAAATCAATGGCAGTTTTGTAATTTAAAAGAAAAAAAGGTTTTTTTTTGTTATGTTGTAAATGGACTTTGAGTGTGTTTCTAAAGTCCATTTCATATAGAGTTTTTTTTTTTTCATAATTTGGGTTCGTATATTTGGTATAATAGTGAATCTCCCAAGGAAAATTGGATTATCTTTTTTTTTTTTTTTTTTGGCATGAGAAAAATTGGCTTATCTTTCCCTGAAATGAAGGGTTCCTTTTTATATACAAATTATTTGTACAATATAAAAAAAAGAAGCACCATAAAAAGACCTACTAGCATTCGTGTAGTGTATGTGAGTTTAGTTTAAAAAAAAAGAAAAAAAAAAGAAAAAGCACCATATTTTCTGAATTTAACAATGAACTTTTGCTATATATTTATATTTTTCTTCTTTTTTTCAGTGGTCAATGGTGGTTTGTCTTTGAAAGCTTTGGATTTTTGCCACAGATGATAAGGTACATATAAGTGCCTCTCACATGGTAGGGTAGGCTTCAGCTCAGCGACTTCAACTGTAGGGCACTTGGGTCGGTAAGAAACATTAATGTAAAAATGTCGTCAGCAGTTGGTTCTTAGTTGTAAGTTCAGTGTCTAGACAACTTAAAGTTGCGTCCAAGAATAGATCTTTTTTAAGGCCAGAGGTCCAAGAATATATCAAAAGGGGGAACTTAGGCAATCTGATTAGTCAAGGCATTAGGTAAATTGGATACATCTAAGCTTTTAATAATCAGAAAATAGTTGAGCCAGTCAAGGGCAGGAAGGTAATTTCAGATAACCACCATCGCCTTCAAGTTCTGTCTGTTGGGTGAAATTCATGTCAACTGGTATTTTTGATTCAGTATGCTTGTAACTTTTCCAGCTCAGGAAATACATTGGAAATAAACATGAATTGTTAGAAAATAAATACTATTCAATTTCTGCTTTGAGAAGGCAATGGCCTCTCCAACAAAATGATCAAGAACACATCTGTGGTCAAAGAAAATGATGCATCTTTTACCTGTAAAAGAATGGCCAAAAAAATTGTAAATCTAAGATTAAAATTGATTCAGGTTAAGCAAGCTTCTTTGCACGACCACTTGAAGGAGCACCGTCATCCTTCTTGGATCCCGATGCCTCAGGCTTCCGAGCCCAGGCAGGAGCTCTATCCGGCTCATAACGATAATCGTAGAAAAGTTCCTCTCCTGCAGTAATCCGTTCCTTGGCAAATATGCCCACCCTATGATCTCCAGCAACCATAATGACCTGCCGTGGAAGGGTTCAATGTAAAATCTACAATTTTTTCAAAGAAAAAAAAAAGCCCCTATACATGATGCTTCTATATGTCCAAACAGTTCTTACTCCAAAAGAACAACAAATCAAAATAGTTCCAATTTTAAATCATGTGACACTAAGTGGGGAATCCCCAAGCAACGACGTCAAAAGGGTACCTTTGCATAACAATTCGGATCTGGAGCATGGTTGGCAAACTTCAATTTGTCACCCTTTCGATAGGCATCAAGGACAAACTGTACAAGACAAATGCTTATTCACACCAGTGAAAAAAAAGAGGCTAGAAATCACATGGAATCCAAAGGTTGATACACATACCTGATCGTTCAGATTGAAGAGAAATGATGAATTTTCACGGTCATATATTTTTCCACGCTTATCTGCTTCCCGATGTGAGATCAACTCCCCAGTATACTCACCAAGGTATTCATGCTTGCCGACGCTATTCTGCAGGGTGGCTAGGAAAATTAGCCAGCAGCAAAAGGAAAAGCACGCACAAGATATCTTAAAATTGAGACACTACCTTTAAGAAAGCACCCCAGCCAGATACGTCAGATCTTCCAAGTAAGACCTGAACGTACATGAGAATAAAAGCAGTCATTACTAGAGGACTTCAATGTCCAACAACTTTAATACTTTTTCACTTAAACGGCAGCTTCTGACCATGCATCTATAGTACGAAAGAAATAGTAAAGAGAAGTTGATTACCCTCTGTTGTTGTTTCAGAAGCAGCTTCATATTTCTACACTCATAATTGTCACCTCTTTGGTTTGGAACCCCAAGGGACCCATCACCGCAACTGCAAATGACATTGAACAGTTCCTTATAGCAGAAAGTTGAACAGAGAAAAAAAGCAGCTACCATTTTGTATTTATAAAAGTGAAACACAAATACAAACTCCAAATTTAATTTTCTAAAAAAAGAAAAAAGGGTAATTTTCACTTTACTACGGTAAAGTTTACCAACTTTTAGAGTTCAATACATGAAATTTTTTTGGTCTCAGTAGCATACACAGTTGATTTTCTTACCACTTTCATACACGCCGTTAGTCTTTCTATTAAAAAGTCTGTTAAATGCTGACGTGGCAACAAATGTGCCACGTAGACTTACTCATATGATGACATGTCGTCCACATATATTATTAAATAAATAAACAAATAAAATAATAAAAATAAAAATCCCTCTCTCTCTCCCTTTTTAATGTTTAATTCAGTCTCTCATTACTTAATTTTAACTATCTGATTCTAAAATGTGAACACTACAGAGATATACAGAGCCATAATATAGCCACAGCTTATTTAGGCATAATAAATTAAAAAATGGCAAAGTTGAATATTCTCAACACTAAACGTTTAGCAAAAGATAAATCCAATCACAATAAGGCACGAGCTGTCTGAAGCACATTGATAATACCATGCATCATAGTCCAAACCCATTACTAAGTGATACGGATTTTCCACCAAAGAAAAAATATTCAGTTATAAGCTCACCTGACCCAGCAATTCCTACAAACATCCGGATCACATTCCCTGTCCGCAGCAAAGCAGGGGCACTGACGACTCCGGCATTGACTTTTTGCACAATGACAGCCCCTAAATCTATTCTTGCAAGTCTTAGGACACCTAGAAAAAAAAGTATTTTAAAAAAAAAATCGGAATTATTATTGGATCCCCTCAAGTCAATGGCAAATCAATGAGGCATGCTGCTGACCAAGATAAAAGTTTAGAAAAAGAAATTGAGTTATCTACCCTTTTCAGCAATAATTAAGAGGAAAATAAACGCTCACCCACAGTACTTCTCGCAACAAGTCCCATTTTGTAGACAAGAACACTGCTTTCCACAAGCTGTTTGGCAAGTACATGGATTATACTGCCTGCAAGGCTGATCTTTTCTCTCAGTAATTCGTTTCCTGATTGAATGGTAAGCAGCAGATTTCCAAGTATACTTCAAGCGACGAACTCTACCCCTTCTACGTAAAAATCTTGATCTTCTTCTTGCTTCATTATTACCCTAAAGTTCAAAATAGAATTATTTGTTAGGGCAGGGAAGGTCTTGCCAATAAGCAGATAAGCATATGCAGAAAAAGAGCATAAATCCATAAAAATCAACCTTGGAATGTCCTTCAACAAGGGAATTTGCAGCATCACCTTCTTGGCAGGACATCTTACTCTCTGAGTAATTCATATACTGAAAAACCTCCCAGCAATTTTTCATACCATTTAAAAGGTTCCTTG